AGTCCCTCTCCATCTCTCTTCTAGCCTCTCTTTAGGTACAGGAAGGCTGCTATAAAGTGTCTCTGGAACCTTCTCTTCTCCAGGCTGAATAACTTGAACTTTCTCAGTTCTGTTGGTCTTTCAACCCTGTGGTCAACTTGGTGGGTCACCTCTGGACTCATTCCAACACGTGGACGTCTTGTGTTAGGGGCCCCAGTTTTTCTCACATTTTATTTCTTCTGTCTTTTATTTCCACTAGTCTTGGACTCAAGAATGTAGTTACTCTATGCTTAGTACCTTTGTAAGATCTCTGTAATGGAAGGAGATGTCCAATTAGTGCATATTTCTTGAAGAACAAAACAGCAAGTGGACCTAAATAGGAATGGATGGTACCAGAACATCTGAGACCTCCTGCGCAGCCTAGGAAAGTTTAACTTTTCTAAAATAAACTGTATTCCATGAGATAAGCTGCACACTAAGGATATGCAAATGACAATGTATTTTGAGAGACTCCCAAAAAAGCCCTGGAAAGTTGACACTGGATGAAGAAACTTCAAGTAAGACTTAGCTGGAGTTGAGGATAAATGCCAAATTGGTTTCTGAACTTTGTTCCCTCTCATCACAGAGATGAATAGACTGATTATACAAGTTAATAGCTCCAAGTCTAAATTTCTGAGCTTTAGATCTTTACTTTGTAGCTTGCTTTGACATGCTGCAGTCTGCATCTCACAAATGCTCTTCTTTAGCCTTAAAATGGTTGCAAACAGAAGTTCTAAGCCCTTTTGAGTTGGCTGACCAGCACAGTAGTCTATACAGCAGCATAAGAGCCATACATGGAAAGTTAAGTGCCACTTTTCTAATTGCTGATGGCCAAATCTTTTGTTAGGTCTAGTACTGAATACTCCACAGTGCTCTTCGTGTATGGATATATTTGCTTGCAGTTAGACTTACTGAGTAAGTTAGAATTGTGTGTGATCACTTCCTGGGACTAAGACCTCAAAAAAAAAAAGGATTTGTTTTTTATATAGGTTTGTATAAAGGTGAAGTAACAATTGCAGTTTCAAATATGCCTTGAAGGAGACAGTTGGCGAGTACTGCAAGATCCACATCAGCAATTCTCCATTTTGCTTCCACCTCATGTCTCTAGTTTCTGTCTGGAGCCTTGTAGCAACAGGCTGATACAGTTTTCTTGCTTAGCTGGATAGAGACCTTATTCTGTACATGGTGAAATTCCCTTTCTGAGCATCTGAGGTGTACATGGAGAAATCAACAGAGGATCTTCTGAAACTGCTTATGCTTGGATGAAGTTCAGAATGTTATATGCACAGTCTTTTCTGTGTTTCCTTTATAAATTCAGTCTTACTGCTCTGTTACAAGTCAAGGGGTAAGGTTTTTTAAGAAATGTTGATTCAGCTCCTAGTGCCTCTATATTTCTAAAATGTTTGATCATATGCCCAAAATTTCCCACAAGTGAACAACTAGTTTCAATTCACTTTCAGTAAGGTTTGCCTCAATATTGTGCTTTAGAAATCCAGTGTCTCTGGGTTTTTCTATCTTACAAGGCATATGACCAAGATTCAGGTAAAATTATTCTTTGCATGTTATCCAAAAGGCTTTACAATGAATGATACATAAAAACTTGAAGCTATTAGGCATTTTCACATTTATTCTCTCAAGTTCTGACTCTTCTTCCACTTACTGTGATTTATGCTTTGTTCCTTTCATAGGTGCCTATCTTCTGCCATACTTAATCTTGCTACTGATAATAGGGATTCCACTCTTTTTCTTGGAGCTTGCTGTGGGGCAGAGGATCCGCCGAGGGAGTATTGGTGTGTGGAATTATATCAGCCCCAAACTTGGAGGAATTGGATTTGCAAGCTGCGTAGTAAGTTTTTGAACATTGTATACTTTGCTTTCAGGCTGTGTGATTTAGACTATTTTGCTGCAGGTAAAGGCCATTGATTTGTAGCTGGATGTCAAGGTCAGTTTACAATGTTTCTGAAGATCTTAAAACTCGCATTGCTACACTTAAAATGTTGATACATATGTGTCAGTTAAAGCAGTCAACTTGTATTTGGTGATTCTTTTGAAATTAGGAACTATCGAACAGAGTAGTCTTCTGGAGAAAAAAATGCCTGTAAAAGTATAGGTACAACATGATAAATACAGAGAAAAGTGAAAATTTAGAAATTGTCAGGTACTTTAATGGGACAAGCCATTCCTTTCTTCTCCTGACTTAATTAAAATTAGGTTCAGTGGCTGATGTGCATAAATATGCAGAAGTTCAGTAGGGCTTTGTTTATTTTACAAATGTAATTTTTTGATCTTTCCTTTTTTGTTTCTTTTTTTTTTTTTTTTTTTTAAAATAGGTATGTTTCTTTGTGGCCCTGTACTACAATGTCATTATTGGATGGAGTCTGTTTTACTTTTCCCAGTCTTTTCAACATCCATTACCATGGGACCAGTGTCCTTTAGTTAAAAATGCATCTCATACATGTAAGTCTGTATTAACATAATGTTCTTAAAAGTCATATAAAATATATAAAATTGGAGATTTTCAAACAAAAAGGAAAAATGCAATTCAAAAAGTATTTGTGGGCAGAAGTTGTATGCAAAGCTGGTTTTCTATCTTAAGTTGTCGTATTATAATAGTTGAAAAAATACAGCAAAGAACCTTAATCTAAGACAGATACACTGTATTTGGAAAGAAACATCACTGTCAACAGCATTTTAAGGAGTAATGAAATTAGGAGAGAACTATTTAGTATGTTGCAGTATGATTTCTTTTTTTCTGCTTTTTATGGTTACTTGGTAAAAAACAAAGGTGGAAGAAGCACATTTCTACATTTCAATTAGTAGGATACTTCCTGGCAAAAAGTTGTTGCATTACTAACAGAGCAGAAAATGGAAAGCTGAAAACATCAATGAAATACAAGTGATAAAAGCATAGTTTGCTTTGTAAATCAATAGAGATGAGACAATTGGTCATTGATTTGTTACTATAACGAGATGGTCACATATAGACATATTATATAACAGCATTCAAAATTCCTTGTCCTTTCAGTTCGGTTGTCTTGTAACAGATACCCACTTTTCATTATCCTTGCTATTGAAATACGAAATATTTTTTTTTGTTTCTTTTTATTCCAGATCCTAAATTTTCTTTAATGAACTTTTGTGGGTTTATTTACCACTTAAATAAAGAACATAACTAGGGACATTTGCAAAGTTGCATGTTTTTATAGTGTCTTTTCCAGAGTTGCTTGCTTCAGTTATTTGAAATAGTATCTGTGAATGTTGACACACAGTCAAGTTGACTGTTCCACAAGCTATTTGCCATTAATTGAATACACTTGAAAACACTTCTGGAATACACATACCAACTTTCATTTAACTTAGGAGCCATTTTTTTCTTAGCACTTTGGTATAATTGCTTTGGCATCATTAGGTCTCTGTTGATTTGAGTGCCATATCAAAGCAGACACAGTTGAGAATTTGTTTTCCACGTCTTCAAATTTGTGTTCATTTCAGAGAGACAGTTTTCATAGTATGTAAGTCACAGTATCATACGCAGATAATGTAATGATGTGTGTGATAAACGTTTTCATCTAAGTCTGCCTACTATTTGTATTTAAGTGAGAAACAAATTCTGCCTTGGACTAGGATTACCGGTAATACAGAGTTATCCCAAAAGGATATTTTACAAAGATACACACTGATAGCAATTGCTGATAGCAATCACTTTTTCTTTTAGACAATGTCTTAAGACTCTTTTGTGAGTTTAGTTTCTCAGTAAATGAGAGTTACTTGGGAAGGCAAAACACCACCTCTTCAGATATGTTCTGTGGTGCAGAATATCTCTTTGGCCAGTTCCAGTTACCTGTCCTGGCTATGCTCCCTCCCAGTTGCTTTTGGGTGCCTTCTCACTGGCAGAGCATGAGATACAAAAGGGAAAAAAAAGTCCTTGACTTAGGATAAAAATGACTGAGCAAAAATCCAAAACATCAGTATGGCATCATCATTATTCTCATTCTGAATTAAAACCACTGCACTATACCAGCTACTGAGAAGAAATTAACTCTATCCCAGCCAAAACCAGGACACACAATTACAAATACTGAGAATTTGTAGAACATTGTTATGAAATATCTCTCCAGAACCTATTCTTTACTTGCTAACATCTCTCAACAGTTGTGGAGCCAGAGTGTGAAAAAAGTTCTGCAACCACTTATTACTGGTACAGAGAAGCACTGAATATTTCCAGCTCTCTATCAGAGAGTGGGGGTTTAAACTGGAAGATGACTATCTGCTTGCTGGCTGCCTGGGTCATGGTATGCCTAGCCATGATCAAAGGCATTCAATCTTCAGGCAAAGTGAGTATACTGTTTACCTAAATGGATCTGTTTTACTTTGAAACATCTCAGGACATTTCTGTTCACCACACCCTCTGTTTACTCTCATGACATCTGTAGGAGCAGGTTAGATGCTGTGACTCACTGTGGTATTTATATGATCTCAAGTAGAGCAATGTGAATAGTTAAGCATTAATATTATAGTAATTTAGTGGAAATTGAGATCTGAAGAAGCATCATTTTGGTTGTCATAAGTGTAATTGTTGCAAGTAACTGTAGCTCTGCTTTATTGTGCAGCATATATTTGTGTGTTTTGACAGTCTGAGGAATTAGGTTTCTATGTGTACTCACAGTGTGATGCAGTGCACCCACGTATGCATGCTTCTGTCATTAACACGGCTGCTTTCCAGTATTCTGGATTGTTTCTTTTGACTAATGACCCTTTGCATCTGAGTACTGTCACTTTACTTTCTTCCCTTTACATGCAGCCACCTGGATTGTCTAGTGAATGATTTGCTAGATCTGTTCATCTCAGTGGGATTTTCAGAGGAAAAATACTCTGTTCCAATAGCAAAATTATTTGCTATGAAAAGGTTTGGCACTGACATGGAAATTTCTGTGGTACTGACATGGAAATTTTTGTGACCTCTTTAGAGCATTTCAGTTAAAGAAACAACTAGCAAGTTTAACCAGAGAATCATTTTACTAAAATTTACAGAATAAATTTTCTTTTCAGTGATGGGAAATGGAAGATCAAATTTGATTGCTATTTTTCGTTATTTTGGCAATAAGCATTACTCAGTGAATGAATTGATAGGTTATATACTTTCCACTGACTGTTATCTTATTTCATTCTGAAGGCCCAACAAGTTTCTATTCATGCTACATATCTTTACTATACTCAGCACTTGAGTCAAAGTGCATTTGTAAAGTGAAGCATTTGTGCAACAGTCTACTTCTGTTCTTGTCATCTCTTTGAATTCATACTGAATTTCCCTGGAAGCCCAACACTTGTTTTCAGTTAGTGAACACTGGCAACTGTATTGTTCTAGTACAGTACAGAATTTCTCTTACAGTCATGCGATCTTGCTTTCTTTTGCAGAGACAAGGGAAATGGGAAGTGTTCTGTATATTTCTTAGAGTATATGATTATCAATTCAGTCATATATCCAAAGGATACTGAGTAGTGAATGAAGCTATTGAAAATAAAGTCCATTGATGTCATGTTAAATTTCTTCTTAATGTTTTTCAGATCATGTATTTTAGTTCCCTTTTTCCTTATGTGGTACTTCTATGCTTTCTGATCAGAGGACTGCTCCTTAGTGGGTCAGTGGATGGAATTCGTCACATGTTCACACCTAAGGTATGTGCTTAATTTGTTTGCAGAGTATTAAAGTTTCAGTAGCAATCTGACCACTTATGAATGCTCTAATTTAAGCTTATTGCCTTCATAGAATATTTGGCCATGTTTCTGTTTGTTTAAATTGAAAAATTTTTGTTTACCTCAGTGGCACAACATCAAGCCTGAAAGTCCAAAGTCTCTTAAGTGTTCCAAGGCTCTGAGTAGAGTTACCTTCTTTATGTGAGGTCTCCCAGAGTTAGATGCCTCTACAAATCTAAGCAACTGACAGTGCTGTTTACAGGATTCAGGATGTTTAGAGAGTTCCAAATACTGAAAAGAAACGTGGATCTTCAATCTTGCCATTCTGTAGTATTGAAATGCCTGATTCTGGGATGTCACAGTGCCTCACTGTGAACTGTCCTGGCATTACATAATTATCTTGTCCCTTTTGAAAGTGAACATATTTTTTTCCTTTCTTGAAATAAGTTAATGCTGTTTGCATAGTAGCCCAAAGTAGAGGATACCTGTATTTAATAGTAAAGTAGTGTAAGTACTCACCACTCAGCTTTCTTTGCCATATTTCTTAATGGTTGACATGCCAAGATAGCAGCAGATCTAAGCATACATTTTTTACTGTCAGTATTTTTACTAGGAGCATGCCTTACTGAGCTTTAGATTTTCTAACTGGAGGTGAGAAGGCATGTTATGAATCATTGTTAGCTTGAAGATCTAAATTATACCCACACCTATCTCAAATGCACGCAACTATATCTGTACTGCAGGAACAGCATATTTCGGTAGTCAGAGCCATACTCAGGAGTGTATAATGCTGGGCTTCATATTGTATTTTGGACTTCCCAACAAGTCCACTTCATAATACAATTGAGAAGGGCTGGACTGATGTTTCAAAAATTAAAGCTAAATAATAAGATGGTCAAAATCAATGCACGTAGTGGCTAATGCCAGATGACAGGTCAGTTGTTTTGATTCCAGGTGTCTTGAGTCTGGAGAACTGTCATCCTATAAAAACGACCTTTGTTAGCTATCACTTTGATGCAGTTGTGCTCCACTTGACTCGCTGTCATGGCTTCAGAGAGTGATGATTCTGCAGGAAATAGAGGCTGCTCAGGCAAATTTAGGAAACCTGAGGAACAGATAAATGTATTGCTTACTGACAAAGAGGAAGTCTAGAACAGAGGCACAATACAGACCTCTTGAAGTTACTATTTGGTTTTTCAACCATAGTGTTAATCCTTTCTTTGACTGGAGAAGTACCACTAGATACTGAGCGAAAATAAATGCAGAAACTCCCCTTGAATGTGAGCACCTCTTCCCTCCCTATTCACTGTTACATCTGAGTTAGACTTAAAATAAGTTGCAGCTGACGCTTACTTTCTGTCATGACTAAGTTATACACTTGTTTCAAGTGCTCAGATAGATGATCTTGAAAGAAAAAGCGTTTTTAATTTATTCTGCTAATTTCCAGTTCTGTATCTCAAAATTTGAAGTTAGGAGACCTGTATGTCTTACAGTATATGTGAATGTAAACCTTCAAAAGTGTTTTCATTACAATTTTCTGAACTTGAGCACTAATTTGGACTGTAGGATCATATTCAGACTCCCCTACCTGTTGTTTCTGTTCACTTCATTGTGCTAACAGTTTATTTAGGCAGGCAAACTGTAAAAAGGAGTGTTAAACCAATATAGCTTGAAAATTATCCAGATGTGAGAGGGGAGGGGGAAACATCTTTTCAGCCTGAGCAAATGACCACATTTTGACCACAGATGATCACAGCATATTCCCACAAGAGTTATGCCAGCATAGCAGAGGACTGGCACACATTGCTTTAGGTGTGATAGCACAGGGCTAATGTAGAAGGAGAGAAATTCTCTGTTTGGCATGATTGTTGATGAAAGCGGAAATTCCAAATAATAATCTTATTGGAAAACCTAAAGAAAGGTCTATGAAAAGCCCACTTAATCAACAGCTGCAGTTTAACTGTAGGATGGTATGAAGCTGAAATGCAGAGTCCCCAATATTTCACAGACAGTATCTAATAGCAAATCAATGGCAAGTTTATTTTGCAAATCTAGGTGATGTATGCCTGAGAATGTACTAATTTTTATGATTTCAAATGATACATTGCAGAAAGCAAGAAGTGTTTCTATACTTCAACCATTTACAGCTTTTATAAAAGAATATTCCTCGAGCTCCCTCCAGTGGAAAAGCTCTGGCATGGCTGTGTGATACAGGCAGATTGAACTACGTGCAGTAGCTACTTGTGCTTTCTAATTATAACAAAAACTATAAGTCAGGAACAAATTTTCTTTCCCCAGATATATTGTATTTGAGATATATGTAAATGAATAAAGAAGGTATCTGTTTTATCTATCTGTAATAAATATTATACCTTCATTGGAAACCAAAAAATGCTTATAAATGTTATAACAATACCAGATTTCTTTTTTCTCAGAGTAAGACAGTCTGTTTTATGATGCTGGCATCTGTGCTAATTCTTTTTAGTTTTACTGTTAGCGATAAACCTAGGGATTAAAATTAAATTACATGCATTAATGGAGGTCCTGTATGGGCTTGAGAAAATCCAGTGTTTAAATTTGGCATGTACTTCTTTACTTCTTTTTTATGATTCAGTATCTAGAAAAATTTGATGACCTATAACTTTGTAACAAAGACTTTTTTTTTTTTAATTATGGTCATCTGATTGGGCAAGGCAGTTCAATTTTTTGATAAAAGGCTTAGTTGTCCCTCAAATACACGACCCATTTAACTTAGAGTAAGTTCAAGGCATCTGACTTAAAGGAGATTTGATTTGTGGACTCTACAGGTTGTGATGGCCAGTGTTTATTTCATAGATTTCATTTTGCTTTACATGTTTGCATGTAATAGAATTCCATATAAGCATGTGTATCTCATAGTCACTGTTTCTGTTTGTTTGAAAAGTAACAACAAAGCAACTTTCATCATATTCATTGTGTTTTATTATAAGAGGACTGATCATGCCAAAACACATCTTAATTCTAACAAATGTCAATACATATGCTGTATATAAAAGACAGTAAATACTGTGTTAAAAAGGAAGTTCTCCTATTTCTTACTATACCTAGCTGCTATTTCAGTTAGATAGCTCCAGTAGTGTCTCATTGTTGGGATCATACTGTGTAGCATGTTTTTATTTGAGGTTTATATAGTATAAAATAAACAGAAATTCTGGCCCATAAGTTTGCTCAGCTTTAGGTGTTATGTTCAGCTTTCATTTTATCATAATGAAAATACATTTGTAGTGGAGTCTTTTATGATGTAAGTTGTCTTCCTGATCTTTTTTCTGTTGTTTTTTTCATATAATAGAAATGCATTTTATAGCTGACATATATTATATCTAATTTCAAACAGCTTGAAATAATGCTGGAGCCCAAAGTCTGGAGAGAAGCTGCTACTCAGGTGTTCTTTGCCTTAGGGCTTGGATTTGGTGGAGTCATTGCCTTTTCAAGCTACAACAAGAGAGACAACAACTGCCATTTTGATGCTGTACTGGTGTCCTTCATCAATTTTTTCACTTCTGTGCTGGCAACATTGGTGGTGTTTGCAGTTCTGGGCTTCAAAGCCAATATCATAAATGAAAAATGTGTTATCCAGTATGAATACCTTTTTTAAAAATTATTTTATGGCTTATTTCATTTATGAATTAACACAGATCACTGAGTTAGATCTCTCTGGTTTATTGTGTTTTACAGAAATTCAGAGAAGATTTTAAAACTTTTGAAAATGGGCAATCTGAGCCTGGATATGATCCCACATCATATCAATTTCTCAAGCATTACAGCAGAAGATTACAATTTAGTTTATGACATTATACAGAAAGTTAAAGAAGAAGAGTTTGATTCTCTTGGTCTGAAATCTTGTCAAATTGAAGATGAACTTAACAAGGTGAGAGTATTAAGTCTTCAATACAGAGATTATGAACAGATGAATATCTGTAAGCCTGAAATAAACTGTGAAGTGTAACTACAGAGTACCAGTACAGTATATACAAGTGCGATGCACCTATAAAGACCCATATGAAAATATTGTTGCATTCCAGCTCACCTAAGGACTTTTGGGTCTGATGTCTTAGTAGAATCTTCACTGATTTATCATGTATTTTGATCATTGCATCATCCTCCTCAGGAGGTGGTAAGTTTTAAAAGTTCTGGTTTTTAGAAGAATTGAGCATGAGGATTTTTCCAAAAATTAAACAAATTTAACCTATTAAGTGTCTCAGGCTATGATGTTGTCTATTGTTAAGATACAGTTATTAAATATAAATGCTGCTTCACTGTAAGTAAAAAAAATATTCTTATTAGGTAGTTGTTTAACGAGTATCATCCTGTTTTGAGATCTTACAGTAAGCCAGATCTGTAAAAGAAATTGTTTTCTAGCTTTTGAGAGGGACTCGCAGATTTAAACACCTTTATATAGTTGCACCAGCATCTGAAGATAAAATGTAAAATCGTTGACTTAGACTTTAAAAGTTCTTCCATTTAAATTTGAAGCAAATGAGTGTAAAAATTAAGTCCTCTATTTACCTACTGGAGAAAACAGCGTATTTTGTAGGAGGCCTATAGAATAGCTTGCTTGCAAAATTATCAGTGAAAGAGAGGAAGAATTTCTGATTGGACAGAAGAGGAAAATTTAGCATAATAAGAAAAATCAGCCATTGGACTAATCTCTCCAGGGAAGTGGTGGATTCCACAACATTGGACACTTGACATTCAGCTGCACAGGGTGGTGGGCCAACTTGTCTAGACTGTGCTTTTGCCAGGAAAGGCCTGGACCAGATGATCCTTGGGATACCTCCAATCAGGTATTCCATGATACTTGTGTTAATGTCAAGCAGCTTTAAAATTCACAGCCAAATCCAATGTTTCAGTAAATAGTATATAATTAAGTTTGCAGGCTTGAAAGAATTGCATATTAGATAGCAACTTCCCATTCTGCCTTCAAGATGTAATCAATGACACTATGAACGTGAAGTCACATGGCCGTGCTAGCAAAAAAAAAAAAATCCATGAATAATAATACAGATTTTCTTTTTCTCACTGACAGGCGGTTCAAGGAACTGGTTTAGCTTTTATTGCATTTACAGAAGCAATGACACACTTCCCTGCTTCTCCCTTCTGGTCAGTCATGTTCTTCCTCATGTTAGTAAATTTGGGACTTGGAAGTATGTTTGGAACCATAGAAGGCATCATCACACCCATTGTTGATACCTTCAAAGTCAGAAAAGAAATTCTTACTGGTGAGTTGCACGAACAGCCAAAACATCAGTGTGTTATCAACATTATTTTCATACTAAATCCAAAAACCACAGCACTGTACCACCTACTAGGAAGAAAATTAACTTTGTTCCAGCTGAAAACAGGACAGTATCCATCCCTATTCTGTACTATGTATGTCATGCTCCAGTCCCATACTTTCCAACACACCACATTATTTCTGGTCTTTTGATACATATACACACAGATATAATTTCCTTAGTCGATGGGCCATCTCTCTAAAATGTCTGTTGAGTTCATTTAGTCCATTCTTTATTAATCTGTAATTTTTGCTCAAATACCCCTCAAAAGGGAGTTGGTTTCAGATCACCAAATGCAGAGCTCTGGTGACAAGCACCATGAGGTGCCCAGTGCAGTGATGGGCATGTAGTTACCCTGGAAATGATAATGTACAGTATTATATAACAGCAGCATACAATTGAATTAATTGGCTATGCTCACCAAAAATTCCTCATCCTCATACATTACCCTCCAAGTGCACCCAAGTCCTTGAGCAAAAGCAATCCCACAGATGGTTCTGCCTTTCCCTGAGGCAGGAGTAACCCAGACTGTTTTCCCCAGGATATTTTTTATGTGTACTTCCTATAGTACTTAAAAGTTTTGATTGGGGAGGACCAGCCTGATCGGCAGATCCCCTAGTGTTGACTAGCCAGGTGACTTTTGCTAGATGTGTATCCCAATGTTTGAAGGTCCCATCACCCTTTGCTCTCAGCATAGTCTGTAACAGTCCATTGGATCATTCAATTTTTTGATCCACCTGTAGCTTGTTTTGATTTTCCTCAGTGGCATTTGCATAGTGTACTTTTATAACCATGTTCTCCACCTAGACAGCAACATCTTGCCGTAGTGTGGCAGCCCAGATGGGTTTACCACTGTGCTGCCAGTTTCTCAGCTTCATTGCTGCAACCACCCCCACAGGTCTTTTGCTGTCATTCATGAGTCAGTATAAAGTATTGGCCATTTTTCTTGTTCAGCAATGTGTAAAGCCAGCTGGATGGCTCACATCCCTTCAGACTGACTTGGTTAATCTTGTATTTCAGCAGATTTTTTTTCCAGATTCTGTACTTGTTCAGGGGTGAAGTTCCAAAATGCTGGAGTTGCCCACTGTCCTTGGCATTTGCTCATGGTACCCCACACACCCTGCCACTCATAACTATCCTAGCTATCCTTAGGGCAGATCTCTGGGTGGTATTTGTTTAACCTTAAACAAGTCTTGGAACACATTTAGGAGATGTGGCAATAGGAATATGCTACTCTGAACATTCCAAGTATATTCAAAATTCTCAAGAGTTACTGCAACTAGTCTCTCATGAATTGGGTCTCCAAGGAGGAAAGGTAAAAGTTATAAGTATTAATAGTTTCTGTTAGATGTCTCCTGAGATACAGAGGTGGTGTCAATGCTGAGTACAAATATCAGATTAGTTTCGCGACCAGCAGTTATATCATGTCATAGGCCAGTGTTACAAAGTACAGCAACATGATAACCCTAGCCCAATTCTCATGGGCAATGAACAGTACAACAGGAAATACATGCATTACATAATACAACTGTAAGAACAAGCACACCAACTTTGACAACAAATAAATCAACATTGTATCCAGTGGCTTCTAAACAATAAATGTTATAAAAATTGTTCTAATGCGTTCTTGTTGGATTTGTTGTTATCTCAACCTGTCATGCCCCATGTTGAGGGGCAAAAAATTCAGAAAGTCATAATAATAGTTCGTATAAGGTTGAAAAAAGTGATTTGTCTTCTACTACAAGTATTTAAAAAAGTGTTGTCTTACTTCCAGTACTATAATCAATAATAATTGATTATCTGGGATTCACACAATGGGTGTTAGCTGTAAGGATATTTTATATTTTGATCCACATTAATTTCACCTAATTTTGGACTACTTAGGTGTATCCTTAGCCTAAGTTCCGAGTGGGGGGAAAAAAAAGGGACACTTTAAGTTGGAGAATCACTTACTGATGCTCAGCCTACAATTAATGTCACAATTTATTGAAATTCGACTTATTTTATGTCTGCTTAATCATTCAGTCCTATTGTTAACAAATACAGTGGGAAAAAATTATATTGAGATCCATTACGCAGGATCAAGCATTCAAGAAATACATTTTGGGCTGTTCCTAAAAAAAAGAATGATCAGAAATGTTGCTTAGTGCACAAATTCATTTATACAGATCCTTATAGAACTTCATGCTGTGAATTATCTTTTAGAGGAAGTCTATTCAGCATTTATATTTTTTGGACTCATAGTCTGGAAGTGTTTCACTTTATTTTTTTCCACTTTTTCATTTCTAATTTCTTTCCACTTCCGAATTCCAAAAAGTGAACTTGTGATTGTGTAACATGATGTATGATGTTTAGCTTACCAGTTCATTTTACTCTTTTACACTAAACTCTGCTACTTAATCAGGACTGCTGTAACATGGCAATTCTAGTAATTCTGGTAATTTTCATTTCATAAATTTTTTGTTATTCCTATTAGTCTTACTTTTTAGGGCGTCTCAATTTTAAAATGTTATCAACTTTAATTATATCAAATAATGTGTTAATGTATAGCTTTACTGTTTCAAACACTCTTTAGCTCCTCTTTGGCCATGGAACTTTGTTATAATTACAGCTCACATTTCTGTCCTTTATTCCAGTCATCTGCTGCTTGGTAGCATTTTTTATTGGCCTGATCTTTGTGCAGCGCTCTGGAAATTATTTTGTGACGATGTTTGATGACTACTCAGCTACTCTGCCCCTGCTTATTGTGGTCATTTTGGAGAATATTGCAGTCACCCGAATTTATGGAATAGACAAGTAAGTGAAGGAAATTTATCTCCCTGTCCACATGAACAGTATTCATTACAATACTTACTACTATTTTCATTATATTGTTTGAAGTATTTGCAATGTACACAGAAATACAAATAATTAGAAAGGATGTCAGTCTGGTCAAGAATCTAGTTTGTTATTAAGAACAGGTTTAGAGCAGGATATACTACATCAGGACAGTGTAGAGAAACCCTACGAGAGGAGAATACAGTAAAAGAGGCAAAAATAGAGGCTTGATATAAAAGCATGAGGAATTTGTATAGAAATAAGACATCAAGAGAAAGATTTCAATAAGTATTAACCATGGTCTAAGCAGCAGATTAAAATGAGTATTCTGAAGAGATCTGCAGTATTCCAGGCTGCCTGAGAAAGGAACAAAGCCAATTAATGGCACTAACAAGAACAAAGTTTCAGTTTATTAACTAGATTTAGTTTGGGGTGTTGTAGCATTAGTTGTGAGAGGAAATAGAGGAAATGGCAGTAAAGAACAGGGACAAAACTTACTTGGAAGCAGCACAGTTGACAGTGAAGTGACCTATTGGTGATGGGTGAAAAAACCATCAAGTCCCTAATTTTTATTTTTTTTTATATTATGACCAAAATCAGCAGAATGTGTTTATTGAGCAAGGTCAATACATGCCACACTTAAGTAATAGAAGAGTTTGTATCAAAAATAACTCATGCCATTCACAGATAAAACAGAATATACTATACTAATATGTTGAAGTAATTAAAAGGTCTGTGATTCCTTTGGACAGACAAAGGGCGGCATAGAATGGATGTTTTTCCATTTTACTCTTCACTTGTTCAATCTGAGTAATCAGCTAGTCCATCATAATGAAATAAAACTATAAAAAGAAAATGTAATTTTATGGTTTCCAGACATTGTTTCTGATCTAGGCAAGTAGTGCCTGGTCTACTTTCTCATTAAGGGAGAATTCCCACTTGGGCCACATGTATAATCCTATAATTGATCACATAGACATAAAAACACCATGTAGATGATTTTACACATGTAAGCAAGAAATGAAGCAGATGACCTGGTTATCAGGTTGGTGATGTCCTGTCAGGTAGCATTCTACTGTGAAGCGAGGTAGACATGCCAAAAGTCAGCAGCTTACCTGTGAGGAAGTTGATGGTTAGGCATAGCTAGAATATAGTAATACTTTGCTTCTGACTCCGAGTGCAGGTGATTCATGTTTTTAGAAGGGGTCCTGACAGAATATAGTGAAAAGTTAGCAGCCAAATTTCTCATTCATAATGGCCATGAGAGTATTCCCTCTGGAGTATTCCTAATATTTCTTCTGATGTATCTTTCTCTATAATATCCTTATGTAACTTAGCAATCTTGTTTGCAAAAACTGCCAGAATCAACAACTTCAGGTTGTCATTGGCTGTGGTAATACCAAGGGTTCTTCATAGATGAAGTTCTGTGTGCATGTTTTATTAGACACACTGTCTTTAATCGGATAGAAAAAAACAAAACATAGCATCCAAAGGGGTTAAAACCAAAGGACAGGAAAGAGACAACATGTAGCCAAGAAGGAAAATCTGGTATGCTGGAATCAGTGCTAGAGGAGCTTGACAGCGTTTAGAAGACGCTAAGCAGGAGGGATATGATGAAAGAATAAAAAGTAAAAATAATAGATTTATGTGCAACTGGGTGAATAACTGGAGATCTCAGAAAGAAAAGGCTATCTATAGAGGACACAATCCATTTGTAAAAGCATCTTTTTTTTAATGATGGTGTGGCATTTCAGTGTAAACAGTGTATTCAGTGGAATAACCCAAACTGTGCTGTTAAAAAGATTTTTGTGAGTTTATATGACAGAAGCTTTACATATGTAACTGCTTTGAAAACATATTTATTGCTATAAGAGCTTTTCTGGGTTGCACATTTGAAAAGGGAGTGGGACCACAGGGGAGTGAAAACAGAATAATTTCTAAAAGTTTCTGCTGGCTCTGGAGCCATGCACTCTGTCAAGAGGTACAAAAATAGTTTTGTTCATGTCATAAATTATAATTTTGAGGCACAGGAAGGCAGTTTTATAACTCTGCAAAGTTTTATTTCAGCAGCTTATATGATGCAAACCATAGCTTATGCATAAAGTTGTTTTTTCACACTGCAGCACGTGTGGGTTCCAAATTAATTTTGCAGAATCTGTAAGATGTGCTGATTGTGTATGTCCTCAAAAGTAATGACATATGCCTCAGTAAACACCCCAGAATCTTATAAAGGAAGGTGAGTTCAAATATCTTTCCAGCATAGTCCAAGAAGCAGCTTACCAAGTCACTGCACTGTGCAGTGATTCCTTTTGTTCATCTCTTCTGAACTAGTAATACAAGCTCTTTTTCAGCCCATCAAGTAATATAAATTGCTCCCATTTCTATACACGCATTTTTTCATTGTGTCTTCCCTCGAGTTAGGTGCTATGTATCAATTATAGTACTAAAAATCTGTCTGCACTAACAGTAACCTTTTAATCTCTTCACAGATTTATGGAGGACCTGAAGGATATGCTTGGGTTTTCTCCAAGCCAGTATTATTACTATATGTGGAAGTATGTTTCACCTTTTGTATTGTTATGTTTGCTGATAGCTAGCGTTGTTCAAATGGGATTAAGTCCTCCTGGCTACAATGCTTGGATTGAAGATAGGGTATGTATATAGTATGTATGTGTATATATGGTATATATTATGTATGATAATTAGTATAACTAATGACATGGGGTTTTTTATCTCAAGTAATTTTGATGTAAAACCAAGCAGTTTTTAATTTTAGAGTAGTTCTGCTTTAAAATATAACTGACTGACACAAACTTTCATGCTTTTGGTGACTTCTTGTTTGCTGATGTATGATGACTAAATTCTTAAGGTTGGGAGAGGTTGTTGACTTTCGCTAAATATAATTTTACTGCAGAAAATAGTTGTGTGATAACACTGAATAAAAAAATTCAGATATCACATCAGATTTTTAGGTGGAATTAAATACTGAGATTTAGCTATGTCATAAATTTTTCCCTCTGGGAACACATATCACAATGTAGGTTACAGCTGCATTAAAACCTGTCTCTGATAAGAATGTTTGATTTGAAAAATCTTGTCTGTGTGAGCAGAAGTCAGTTCTACTCATTGGCTCCAAAAAGGAATTCAGTCAAGGTAATTCCTAAGAGTTACGTTAGTTGTAGGGTCACCAACCCTTCGCTGTTTCTACAGGCTTGTCATGCAAATATATGGAAGGTAAAATGTCAGAGAAATGAATCTCAGGACAAGTGTTTGAATTAGCCAGGGGAGAAATCGCAGCAAAGACAGATAGAGGCTAAATACCTCTTACTAGGTATATGCCTGCCTCTATCCAGACAGCTACTAGTTTCTCATAATTCTTAGAAATACACTGTTCTTACATTTGATTCATGCTCTCAAAAATTGCAAAGAGAAATACCTTAGAATACCAAACATACCATTCCTTTCCACACACAAAATTAGGCAAACAGAGCCTGTTAGCTAATGATGCATGGATGCAGTAGAGGTATGGGATGTAGTCAGTGCCCCAGTAAATGCATTATATTTATATAAGGTTTATACAAATTGGAATAATTGAGGGAGTCCCTGTCACCAGTTATTAGCCTACAGAACAAGGACTTACTTTCCATGCATAGTTATAGATACCAGTGCACACTTGTCTGTTCTGAACATCCAGTGATTAGAGAACAGCTACAAATGTAGCAGAAAGCCTAATGTGAACCCTTGATTTGGGTGCTGCTAGAGTGCTCTGAGCATCTTGGAAACTGTGCAACAGTGTTTTGGTCCTACTCACTGGCAGAAAAATGGCAATCCTACATTTCCATGACTGTTCAGATTTGTGATCTGTAGTGGTGCCCACATTGTGGGTGCAAGGTGACAAAAAAGTATGTTTGAAAACTGCAGACCTTGGTGAGGATTTCAGGTTTGTTCTTTTCTCATTAAAGATGTATTAAGAGTTTTTCTATTGTATTCTCAGGCTATAGAAGAATTCCACAGCTATCCAACATGGGGAATGATTGTCTGTATATCTCTGATGGTGTTGGCCATACTGCCAGTCCCAATAGTCTTCATGGTACGCCGTTGCAACCTTATTGATGACAGCTCTGGTAGTTTGGCATCTGTATCCTACAAAAGAGGTCGGATAATAAAGGAACCTGTAAATCTGGAGGGTGATAATACAAGTCTGATTCATGGGAAGAGTTCAAGTGAAGTGCCATCTCCAAATTTTGGCAAAAACATATATCGAAAACAGACTGGATCACCAACTCTGGACACTGCTCCAAACGGACGTTATGGTATTGGGTACCTGATGGCAGATATGCCTGACATGCCAGAGTCTGATTTGTAACTGCAGAAAAAAAATGCTGGTTTGCTCTCCTCTCACTGATCATGGCTCTTCTACGAGAAGTGGTCAGCTTCACTTACTAGGGTGTTATCTCAGGTGCTCCATAGTGACAGTCTTTAATATGTCATGACTGTACGTACAGGTTGAGAAAACTCCCTTTGGATTAATTCTCTGGGTTTTTATTTGCACTGAAGGAATGCATTCAATTTAAATGGCAGCCAACATCTGCCAGCATAGCCAAGATTTGGTTTTTTAATTAATTTCTAAATTTAAAGCTTTCTATCTCTGAAGCCCAGGTCTCACTCAAATGAAAAATATTTCTGAGGTAATAAAATTGTAAATCCTTCTTTTCTGCTTTCGAGTTAACTCACCAGTATTAAAGGTGAGCTCAGAAGTAGTTCACCAAACCTGTGTTTGTGTAAACACCTGTATATACCTTATGTAGATACGCTGTACTTATTTTGTTAGCACTGATAATTACTTAGGCTATTAGCTGAGTAAAAACAAACCTGCAAACTATTTTCTTATGTAACAGCTGTATAGAGCAATAGTATTAGAAAAATCAAGGAGTAGACTAAAAGGAAGGCGAGGAAAGATTCCCTGTTCACTGGGGACTGCATAAACTGTGGCTGTATATTTTGTGTAAAATATTTGCTTTTTCAGTGTGAAAACAATGTTAGAGTGAGTCACTCCAAGAATCTTAAGGATTGTGCAGATTCTGCATTTTTTTCTATGCTGTGTGCCTAAAAAAGACCTTGATATTTATTGTGGTTACAAGATTGCATATATATTATATTTATATAATGTACTTGTAATGTAAATATGTATATTATTCTGTATGTAACCATTTAAAAAGTCAAAGCAAGATGGCTTTTTAAATTAGTCTCCTTCAGTTTTGCTTCTGTTTTATGCAGATACTTTTTTTCAGTCAGTAATTGTTAAGAACTGTATGTCATTACATTTTAACCTATGAATAAAGAGATTGATAAGGTATTTGTCTGTGATTTCCTAATACACTTCTTACAACACAGCCTGCTTTTCCCTCATCTGGACATTTATTTGAATGGAGATGCTAAAAGAACCTGAAAACAAAAAATGCCAAATCAGTCATCTTACTGAAATATTGGACATTTACTGTGAGTACAGCAGTTGACGTAGAACTGTAAATTGGCAGGTTGCTCTTAAAGCTAGTGCATGATCTATTCCTTAATTTAAAGAGCTTTAAAGTTAGGCATAAATTCTGACTTTATTACCTCTAATAAGGAAAGGGCAAAACCTAGTTATGTTGTCGCAGCATTGGACAAAGAACCAGATTAATCATTTGAGGTAAATGCAAATCTCTCAAGCTCTGTGCCTCAAGAGTCCAGTTTTGAGCATGTTGGTATTCAAAAGCTATGCCAAGCAAATGAAAATAAGCAAAATCTTAAATCACTTCAGCAACTTGTTAAAATTCCTTATGGATAACTCTTGTCTTAGGAGAATAATCCTGGAGAATATTCCACTTCTAACATGAGAGCTTTTGAAATCATTTCTGGTCATCTGAAAGTTGAACCAGCAGTATTATCTGACAAAAAAGCTATATTTAATTATCAGGCTCATTTTGCATTTGATAGAAGTTGTGCTCATAAAATAGCGTTTAAAGTCTAAAATGCATGTGTTGGAACATATGGGAGAGCCATAATTTAAGCAGGTGATTCTTTCATAACTGATCAACTCTCAGTATTAGTATGTGTATAATGTATTGCCATTAGAGACACAGAGCAGGTATATACAAAATATCTGCTGTGGCAGAGCAGCAGCAAATTTCTACCATCATACCACATCAGACTTCTAAAGTGACTGTTCAGGGTAGTTGACATGGATCTCTCTGTGCCTGGTCCACAGAGTGCAGGAGTCTATTCTTACAGACTAGTTACCTGTAGTGACACATGCTCTTAGTTATATAGACCTTAGCTATAAATGTGAAGTCATGGCCAAATTGCTGCTGCTATAGTAGATCTGTTAAAATGAATGTGAGCGAGCTCTGATTCTTAAAGTGGAGCAGCTACTTTTGTTGAAAGCATCACAAATGGGACTAATGCTACTTGGATAGACTGCTGAAGATTATTCTGCTGGGGAATGTCTTGATTCTTCCCTTTTGCTTTTTCTGTGAACATTTCTAATGTGTGTTGTGGCTTTCCACTCATTTAAGGTACTACTTCTCAATTGGTTGCTTCCTGTTAACTTCAGTTAACATGTCTCACCTCATCTTCATGAACTATTTCAGGCATGGGGAAGCCCAAAACATGTCTTGTGTACTGTGTGATTCATAATCTGATTTTAACCATGACTGAATACTCTCAAGTACAGAAGTTCTTTAACCTGGTTTAGTATGATGGACTGAAAAAGGCACTCTCTATCCAGTCTAAAGAAGCAGAACTGATAAAATAGAAAACTAGATGCAAAGGTTTTAAAAAAATTAAAAATAATTCCTATTATGTGTGGCATCCAGTATCTTGCATATTAACGAAAGAACTGCTGAAACAAAGTAGGAAATTGTATCTACAGTTCTGGTGAGGCCAAGGGAATTCACACCACTTTGATACTGCAACTTTGGGAGCAAAGAAGTGAAAGAAGAGGGCAGGAGAGAGAGTCCAGATATTTATCTGCTTAAAAGCTAGAATGTCTGTTTGTCATGTCAGTCATGACTACAATTAATTTGTAGGGTTTTTTTAAAGGAAAAAAATCATTGCAAAAGTCAGCCATGCTTAATATTAAAGAAAATCCTAGTTACGTCTTACATAATCAGATAGCCTAAGAACAAAATCATCCATGTGGAAAGTGAAAATAGATTTCCAACATAATTTGTTGCAGAAGGCCTAAGGTTCTTCTATACAATATGCTTTGTGAAATCTGATTTCC